AAAAAAAAAAAAAAAAAAAAAAAAGAACCCTACCCAATGTCTAGAACATGGTCCCCACTGCGCACGGCCTTCTGGATTGCTCGATTGAAATCCTCGTTCCGTTTTTTGTCGTTTAGCATGTCCAAGTAGGACGATCTAGCGATAACCTGAGTCGGGTCTGCATCCCGATCCCAGCAACCTTCTATCTTATCCTCCAAATGAACGGTCTGCCATTCAACGACACCCGTGACGGGATTCATCTTCTGAACAAACAAAAGCCTCCCCTGCTGCTCTGCCTCCTCCTCCTTCTTCCTCCTCCTCTCCTCCACCTCCTTCCTTCTCTCTTCCAGGTCCTTTCTTCGTCGGGATTGCAATCGCCCTCGGTCGGGGCGAAGAGGAGACCTACGCTCCTCCCCCTCTCTCTTCTCTACATCTCCCATCTCCGTTCTGCTTCCGGCAGCTTGTACCCCGCCTTGCTGAACACGGAACCCACCCTCCTCCTCCTCCTCCATATCCTCTTCAGCCTCCTTTGCCTCCTCCTCCTGGTCTATGCTGTCCCGATTCTGGAGTCTGAAATTGGACACGTGGCGGGGCAGAGAATGGTGATGCCGGGAGGGCCACACCCCTCTCTCCGTCCCGACCTTGCAACAGTTGCTGCCACCGACCGATCCCCTCAGACCTGGGAACGACCGGTCAATGGAACATCCAGCGGTCGACGTCCTCCTCCACAGCCCCCGCCATCCCCACAAATCTACTCCTCCTCCTCCTCCTCCTCCTCTGTCTAATCGGTCCAAAGCTGAGAAATCGGTACATGTGCCACGTGGAGAATGGATCCGTGACGTGGCACGATGACCGAATAGCAAATCCTGCGCGAGAAGAGAACGGACTTGATGCAGGGAACCCGGTCTATCTGCTGCTACGTCGGCAACGGTTGATTTGCCAAGTGGCGATCGTCTAAGGCAGACACGTGGAAGATCTGCCACGTGGGATGCTCTTGATCTGTGTTCCAGTCCGAGAAGACGGCGATGCCAGCTACTCTCACGATTGATTCTCAGACACCTAATACCTACTAGACTGATGGGAGGGAGGGATTTCCCAACAGTCATCTGGCCGGAGAACAAAAGCGGCGCGCACCGAACGAAAAACGTGGCAGAAAACAACGTCGGGGTAAGCGCCACGTGTGAAAGGGCCCACCGCATAGCATCCGGCGCGCAGTGGTTCACAGGCCCCCCGCCCCTCTCTTCAGAGCCTCCTCACACCCCCACTTCCCTTGGTGACCATAATCACGGCTAATTTCGGTCGAAAACGGCTTTGGTCTCAGTATGCTATCAGAAAGAGCGCGCCGCCATCATTCACTCATCACTCATAACCATCCCGCTACCTATATCCTCCCCCCCCCACTCCTCCCCCCCACCCCCGACAACATAACGCACCCCTATTACGAATGCACGAACACTGCAGTAGTTGCCTTCCGGTCCAAAGCTGTCAGCATGACGGTGGGTTGGTTGGGTTCCGGGGTGTAGACACGGCCTTGGCACTTGGCACTGCTTCGCGCTGACTCTCAGGGAACGGGCCTCGGGCCTCGCTACACTACTCTGTCTTTTTTTTTTTTTTTTTTTTTTGGAGCAAACGACCTCGGAGGCAGCTTGAGGTGCTGGTAGGAGCAGTCAAGTCAAGCTGGTCCGGGGGGGCTCCATCTATTGGTGGGGACTCGGGAGCAGCACCTGCTGGGAAGTGGGCCCAGCGTCCCATATTACAGATACCCAGTATTCCAGGAAATCACATACAATATAGATACTGGTCGCGTGCTGTGGGCTAATAGACTAATAGACTGTGACATATTTTGTGTGTAATATAGTGTGACTGTTTGTAGGCATATGGTACATGTACTGAGTGTAACGGAGTATGTATGTTTGTAGGCCTATAGTACAGTACTATCTACGTCTATCTATGTCTATCTGTGTTTGCAAGTAGTAGCATTAGTAATGTTGTGCTGGGTCTTTGACAGTGTTTGACAGTATTGACAGTGCTGTATTGAGTGCTAAGTTCTGATTCCTGATTTCTGATGCCTGATGCATGAGTTCATGTATGTCAAGTTACTAACTACATGGTGCGGTGGAGTTGGTGCAATCTATGAATGCATTTTACAGTATTTGGCTATGTTGCACTAAATTGTATCGTTGTATCGTTGAGCAGCATTTGAACATGTTGTATGACACCTGACTTCAGCTGAGTAGACCCTTTCTCCTCTGGCCGCTCTTCGGATTAGAGCATCAAAACAGTCAATCCCTGGCCGGTTAGGTAACGGGGGGGGGGGG